AGGGGCTAAAGAAATGATGAGAAATAAAGCAGTGTGGCAAATCTACATACGCTGGGCCTGCTTGCTTGTACCTCAACTGTGTGCACAGAGGCCAGCAGAAGCTGAGTCTAGCTGGGCCTCTAACATCTTCCCTGGTGGTTGAAGGCAGTCACGTGCCCACAGCAAGGCTAACGAAGAGCTTGGCCTTGGCCTTGGGCCCCACATTTCTCTATTAGCCGCCCACCAGTACCAATTCTGCCTCTCTCACTCATAGACCACAATGATCTATTTTCGCTTAAAGTCTCTATGACAGAAGTAACAAAGGTTCCTCAACCTAGTATGAGACGAAGGTAGACCTGCTCAAAGTCCCAAAGTCAGAAAAAGAGTTGAAGTAGAATGATTTAATTCTAAGTTTTGCATTAAAACCTGATAATAAGCAGATTTTCTTCAGTATACATTACCTCTGGCTGAGCGGAAAGTTCTCTCAGGAGATGACCATTCCACACAAACCTCTGATCTGCCTAAGGGAGAATTTTTTAAATTAATAAAACAGAACAGAAAAAAATACAGCACTCAATGTCTCCACCTGGTGGCCAGAAGCAGGTGGCTTCTCTGCAGGCTCCTTCCCACACTCCTATCTGTCCATTATCTCAGTCCCAGGCCAACCAGAAACCTGGGTGGGGGGCTTCCAGGGGCTTTCTTCATCTTACATGGAGTCAATCCTCAGGTCCTAACTACCATTCAAAAATCTACCTCCTCTGCCACAATCCTGCAACACTTGGCTCCAGTCTAATCAACAGTGCCTTCCCTTGCCCGGCTTGGTCATCCCTCGCCACTCCTCCAGTCAGGCAGTTCTGGACCCTGTCCTGTCTCCTACGTGCTCTGAATTCTTCATTGGTTTTCTGGCCCCTCTGGACCAAATCTCTGCATGACCGAACGAGCCTTCGGCTCTGGCAGCTCTAACTTAACTCTATTCTCACTTCTGGTCACTTGGACTTTCAAACTATAAATACTTTCAATCCAACCTCTAAAAATCCAGTAATTAAGTGTTCCCATTCCCTCTATAAAGTGACCAACACCCCCAGGTCACAAGTGACATCATAGGAAGTGGTTCTTGCATGTCGGCCACCACAGGTAAGTGGTCCTTCCTTGCACCCAGGTATGCGCTCCCGTCACTCTGGGTGTCACGCCGTTTGTCATCATGACATAATTTCACTAAGTATGTCAGACATCAATGCAAGATGACCGCAAGAGAACTGCTATTTCTATAAAAGTGAGCGCTTTGAAATAACTTGGTAAAAGGCAAGCTGCTAATAAAAAACCTGCTGTTGAACTGGAAGTAAAAATGTTAAGGATAAAAGAAAGGAGAAACAGTAAAGATCTATAGGATTCTATTCAAAGATTTTTTTGTTTAATTAAGTTTTAAAGTGTTTTTTTAAAAAAGAGCCAAACTGGAAAGTGGATCAGATATAAAGGAAAATAGAATCAAAGAAACAAAACAAAGGAAAAATGGCTTTGATGGTACATAAAAATACTTGACAGCTAAATAGAAAATGTTTAAATGTTTACCATACGAATGTTCCATTAACCACTTTTGTGATTCCCTATTTTAAATTTGACTTCTCTAAGAGGACACATCCAATGGTGTCTCTAACAGGGTGGCCCACTCCTGCCAGGTGACAGGACACAACACCCCTGTCAGTCTCTACCAGAACCCGCCCTCACTCCTGACCAATAAGCGCTGCTCAAATGGACAGTCTTAGCGGACAGTCCCTTTCTGTGTGGAGTCAACCCCGACTCTCCCAGGGGGAGTGGGATCACTGTTCTTCAGGATCCTGCCAAACTCTGGTGCACACCTCTGTTTAACCGGTCACCCCTTATTTTGTGACTGCCTGGACGCCTGCCTCCCCAGAGGACCACAGGATCCCACAGGAGAGAGGCTGTGTCTTTTCCATTGGCGTTCCTCTCCTTAGGACAGTGCATGGCACACAGCAGGTCACGGAGACATCTGCTGAAACAAGTGTGGAGGACAGCAGCTGCTCTCTTGTAGTTAGTTGTTCTAGTTGTTGTTAAGTGACGTCAAGTCGCAGGCAACTCATAGCGACCCTATGAAGGAGAGTCCTCCCACGCTTGGGTGTCTTTCATCCTCTCTCCAGGTTCATAGGGTTTCCAGAGGCAAGCTATTAGGGAAGTGGACACCACTCCTCCTCCCAAGCTTGTTTTCTTCGGGGAGCTCTACCCCACTCTCCTTGCAGGCACTTTTAAATTTCTTAGCCCAAGTCATCACTAATCTTACATGGGCTTTTAACTGGAATATAACATCTTACCCAAAAGAGCCAGTCAACTGAAACACTGACTCAGGGTGAACTCACATTCATGTCAGGCCTAGTTCTAAAGACACAGCTAATAAAGAAATAAACCATAAACAAAAGGATGGTTTTTCCAGGATCGACAATAAGGAAGAAAATCCTCAATATGTAAAAGAATGTCTACTTGAATTTCACTCAAGAGTATGTGTCTATTAAACAGTACTCCAGAAACAGGACTGTAGAAAGAGTACTCTAAAAACAGTACTCTGAACATAGCAGTTAAAAAAACAAGAAAAGAAAAAAAAAAGAAGGAATAAGAAAGAAACAAGCAAAGAAAGTTGCAAATTCTATAATTATCATATGTTGGAAATAAACTCATGTAGCAAAGCAGTAAACTTTTATTTCTGAGAGATACTAGAATCTCAGTAACTAAACTTACAGAGGCTGTTGGAGATAAGTTCACTCAGGTCAACTTTTCTATAGGTTTTGGGAATCTTTTCTACCAGAAGGCATCAGGAGGAAAGGAGCAAGTAAAAAACTGCACTGTATTTCCTAGCTTCATAATTTTGATATATTATAGGAACTCTCATGTGTATTAATTAACTACTCAACAAATTTTCTTCAGCACCCATTATGAGCCTAGGACTATTCTTGACACTTGAAATATAGCAGAAAATAAAATAGCCTTTTAAAAAAGGGGGATATTTTTGGAAAATGCTTGTTATTCCTGGCAGCATCTGGTCCCCACTGGACCCTCATCATTTCCTTCACCTGCTCCCCCCACTGACCAAACTGTGCAGCTCTGCAACTGCATCCTGGCCCAGCCTCACCCTTCTGCCCCCAACCCTCACCTCCTTGTACCCCCAATACGTTTTTCCCAATAAAAGAAAAAAAAGAAGAAGAATGATAAAGTAACAGCAAAAAAAAGGGGGGGGGATATTTTTCAAGTACTATAGTCAATAAATTCTGATTTTTTTGTTATAAAATCACCAAGATGTTGGTTTTATAAGCCTAATTAATGCTGCTAATAGAGCTGTCACATATACTATAGCACAGTGGGAGCTAAGAAATAACAAACGAAGTCAAGGAGTCAAGGGTGTGTTGAATAGTTGACACTTGAAAGTTACTGGTTGACAGCTCAGTAGTATGTACCTTAAAAAAACCATATAAACTCTGAACAGTATTAGACTGAATTTCTAAACGTCTGCATTAGCAGGTCTCAATCCCGGCTGTATAACAGACACAGATTCTGGAGCCCTTAATCTGGGACTGTGATATTTGTAATATATTTAAAACACAGTATGCTTTCAAAGTGCCAAAGAGGATCCTGACATAGTGGGGCTGAGAAGAATTAATATACATTTTTATGGATGAAACAGAGACACATGTCTTAGACAAACAAGCCAAAAAACCAAATAAAAAAACCGAAAACCAAAAAAAAGCAAACTTACCCTTTCTGAAAGACTCATTTCTTGGAATTCTGGGCTCGTGTTGGACAGTCGTTGCAAAGTGTGAGTCAAATCATATGTTGTCGAAAAATAAAATCCATCTACATTCAAGACATGGTTTATCATTGCTAGGAAAGTTTTATTATCTTGCAACTGTGAACAAAGAGAGGGCAGGGAATCAGTAGATGGTCACTTGAGAAGGGATCTGTCAGTGTGAGAACAGAACTGAAATGGACCAGTTTGGCTCCATTAACATCACCGGCACAAGTCCAGGGCAGGGGAGGGGGCAGGAACTACCTTTTCCCCAGGACCCGGAACACGTCCTGACACAGGGACAATGCTCAGTAAATGCTGCAGGGTTCACTATTTTAACTGATTAGAAAGGACCACCCACAATTTGTACTCTAAAAGGCAGAATAACTGCTTTATCCTTTGCGCATTCAATGTCATGAGATGCTCTGAGTCCCCTCAACGTGGAGTTATTCACTGGTAACACTTCCTATAAGACACCTTCATCCTTTCTCTTGACACCATTGTGCTCGCTGATGTTGGTGCATCACCTTCACCAAGACCAGACCTGTGGCTGCAGGTTTACAGCCTGTCCACCAGCCACCCTGTCAGCGAGTCTCACATTCAGCTGTTTCTTCTAAACTTCTTTTTTACATCAGATTTTCACTTCCAGCATTACTACTCTTTATTTCCTGCTGTGCTTTCATCTTTGGCAAACTGACTCCTTGCTTAATATACTGCAGGAGCTGAAATGTGAACTGAGTTGCTGGGGGAATGGTGATTAAAAACAGTGCATGTAACAACCCCGCAAGAGGAAAACTAAATATATGTATGGAAATACACACCCATATTCACCTACAGTAAAAATGAAGAATTCATTTTTCTAAGGAAAGAAGGAATGAAACATGATGAGTGCAACTTCAATTACGTCTGACACTTTCTTTTTTTAAAAAGGTCATAAAGGAAGTTAAATTTGGGTCCTGAATACATAAACATTTTCTATTTGTACCTTTCTCATCATATTAAGTTTCATAATTTAAGAACTGAGACAAGAGTCCAGAAGGAGAGCTGCATGGACTAGGAAGGGAGGGCTGTATAATAACGAAGGGTTTTTTTTTTTTACTTTTCTAAGTGAAAAACCAACTGGGGGGATAGAGAGGTGGGAAGGGAGGAAAATGTGCAACAATGAATGAATGAAAATCCACAGTCTCTATAAACTTTGATAAAAATTTAAAAAAAAAAAGAATTGAGGCAAACTTCTAAAAACTCAAGAGCAATAAAATACACAAAAGGTTTGGTTTTATTCTTAAAAGAAATTACTTCAGGGTTAGAAACCAGAAGTAAAAGCCTACGTGTGTGGCCACATCATAGATCACAGTCGATTAATGAGTAATTAATTACGTTGCCTGACTGACACATTACATATTCTTTCCTTTCACCCAGCTTATCTATTAGTTTTTATTCCTCTCTCTCTTCCTTCCCACCCCGAGTAACCATCCCAAATGAATTCTGTGTGCAAACCTTCTCTTAGCCCTTTATGATAGTGGTCTTATCCCATCATCACTCCTTTGTGACTAACTTTGTTTGCTCAGCCAAATCCCCTCTGGGTGTAGTGTTTCCTCCAGTTCTCTCTTTTAAGATATTCCCCATTTCTTTATTCCACTGACTTTTCTGTGTGGAGTTAATTTTGTTTATGGCTTTTATTATCCTTTCCTTCACCGCTAGTGTTTTTTGTTTTTGTTTTTTTCTTTTATTATTTTTTTGTGTGTGTACCATTAAATCAGATCTGACTGGTACAGGAGGAGATTGCCCCTCCTTCTCCAGCACAGCATCTGGTGGATTTGAACCATGCACCTCTGGGTTCGCAGTGCAGCTTCTTGCCACTAGGCCACGAGAGCTCCCTTGTTTTGGTGTTTTCTAAGCCTTTATGATCTTCCTCTTTTTTGATTTTGATGAGAAAGTTTGCTAAGTTTCTTAGAGGCTCCCCTGGAAGGTACGATTTTATTCCCAGGTCTAAAATAGTTCACTTTCTCTTAAAATCTTGACTTCCTTTCCATTTAAGTTCTGTAACTCCATTTCTTATTTCCTCTTTTTTCCTTGTAGTTGTCATGAGATTGATACCTTTTGTTTCCTGTCTGCAGTCTTGTGTGTTTATTATATTTGTGTATAATAAATGTGTATTCCTACATCGGGAGCAGTTTCTGAGTGACAGTGTCGTGTTCACCCAACATTCTTCACCTCTGCTTTCCCTGCCCTGTATCTCATTGGGTTGTGCAATTAGTAACTGCTTCCGGTTCTTACCTGAATATCAGTTAAGTGCAGCATTGTCTTCTTATAAGAAAGGATATCAAAATCTGTAGCTTTCCAGATTACATGATTGAAAAATTCACCTATTTTTGCCTTTTTGGTAATGACAATAAGATAGTTACCTGTGAAAAGTTGAACACATGTAAGTATAAAATAATGACAACTTGAAAGCCAAAGGTAGTGGTTTTTATTATCCAAACTTTAAAAGCTAAATGAATGAGATTATTGTGCGCAACACAAAGGCCCACATTTTGGGTTTGTTTGGGGTTTTTTGTTGGGTTGTTTGGTTGGTTTTTTTTTTGCAGCCTTGTATTTATGAATTGTTGTTGTGTACTGTCAAGTCAGAACCGACTCATAGCTGACCCTCCAGTGAACTTCCAGAGGCTGTAAAGTGCACAGGGGGAGATTGCCCATCTTTCTCCAATGGAGCAGCTGGTGGATTTGAATCGCTTGCCTTCCGGCTGACAGCACAGCTCCTTACCATTAGGCCACCAGAGAAAAGACCGAATGGTTGAAACTTTCTTTCAGAAAATAAAAGCAAAAACTGTTGGTACACAAAGCAGCCAGCAGATGAAAAACAGAGACAGAAAACACTTTTCTCTCCTGGCCCCATGGCATACAACAGGCCTTTGCTAATAACGCATTATCAGCATATACCTGAAGTATCAGTGGTCTGCCGGGCAATGTCCCATCCACACTATTCCTACGTCCTTCTGGTCATGCTAAGTAAACAGTAAGGAAACGTGCAGAGAAGTTAAATGGTCTCTGCAGTAATACAAGTAGCGGGGAGTCAAGCAACCACTACAGCATCACACACAATACACCAACCTTCACCCAAACTTTATCCTACTCACTTCCTTCTCCCCTCAAATAAAACATGGTAACCTCTTCTATTAACCAAAATCTTAAGCTCAGCCAAAAATACTCTCTGCTGCACGCTCCCTGGCAGCAACCTTGTGTACTTTTCTCTCCTAAAATGAATACAGTCCACAGTAATAATTTACTACTTATACGCCTCTCGCTAGACTGTGAACTACAGGGTAGAAAGGGCATAGACTTTCCACAAGCCTGTATCTCCCACAGGGTCTAGCCTAACCTCCAGAAGTCCTGTGTAGAGCACGATGTGAAGTATGCCTCCGTCCTGTGCTCTAACACTGTCGACTGAGTCACTTTCCTTGTCTGTCTTGGTTTCTTTTGTCTTACCTGCCACCAGATGGATTGTGCCCAATATACCAAATATTGGTCGTGTGACAGCTGAAGGAGGAACATCTTTCTTGGCTTTAAAAACAAAAACAGGAAGGAAAATCACATTTTAAAAAGCTCCAAGTAAAACAGAAATTTACTTTTATTTCAATAGTCAGATCAATTAAACCAATCTGCATGATCTGTCCTTGTTATTACGTACTGTCGAACCGGAAGTGACTCACAGCTGACTCTCCGTCAGGTTTTCAGAGGCAGTAAAGTGCACGGGAGGAGAATGCTCATCCCTCTCTTGTGGAGCAGCTGGTGGATTCAAACTGCCTACCTTTGGGTTGGCAGCACAACTCCTTACCACTAAGCCACCACGAAGAACTGGTGACTTGCCCTAGGAAAACAATATCCCTTCCTTATGTTAGACTTCCATTTCGGTTCTTGTTGTTGTTATGTACTATTGAGTCAAAACTGACCCTCCAGCGGGTTTTCAGAGGCTGTTAATCATCTGGGAGGAGACTGCCCATTCTTCTCCTGTGGAGCAGCTGGTGGGTTTGAACCCTGTGCCTTCAAGATTGCAGCACAGCTTTCTGTCACTAGGTCACCAGAGCTCCTTAAGTAGCGTGTAATGGCAATAAAACCAATTTCTAAGAATAAATATTAGTTTTTCATGGGAAAAAAAATTCCTCTCTGCAGCCATAGTGTGTACTCCTAACAGTGAAAAGAAAGTGGCTGAGAAGCTGTCAGGGAGCCTTCCTCCTCACTGGCTGCTGGTTAAAGTATGTCAGGCATGTGTCCTTATCTTTACATCCAAATAATTCTTGGCCTTTAGCTTCTCAGTCCACTCAGAGGAGGCCGCAGTCTCTAGCTATGAGTCAAATGTCACTGAAAAGTCAAAAGTAATACAGTCTGGGCTGAATCAATATGGCACAAAATAGCAGTGTGAATTAAAAGTCCAGGAGCTGCTCTGTTTCTCTGGAGAAAAAAGTTACCAGGCAACAGACCTGTGGGAAATGTCAAATTACCAAACTAAAACAGAGCTCTAATCTCATGTGGTCAAATACAAATATATATATGGTACTTATCAGAATAACCAGGTAACCAAGAAAGAATAATCAGGTAGCCAGGAAAATTTAAAGCCATAATCATTCTTATTCTTTCCAATCTCATGCAATAGACTTTCCTATTTTACCTTTTCCACTCAAAGGATAATAAATGAATCATATTTAATGACCACTCTGTGGTGACTCAAAATTGCACTTAAGAAAAAAATAAATACAGAACTCTACAGAGAACTGGATTTTTTCAATATATAAAACATGAATTTATGAATGTAATAAAACAATGATGCACTAATTTGCCGCCAAATCTATTTCACTTAAATCTATTCAGAAATCAGTGTTCCACATAATTGGAAAAAAACAATTGTTTTTCAAGTCCCAGACAAGCAAACCCAAAATACAATTAGATTGGTAGATAAAGCTTAGGGATATCATGTGCCCAAAATTGTTAAAATTTTTAGTGAGTGAAGGATATTGATTTTTTTATTTCACCTTCCTCACTGTTGAAAGACCACAGAGTTGACTACACCCTATACCTTAAAGTTGGTAAGTTAGTGGACATCAGCAAGATTAATTCTGTCAGAGTACAGGTAAGGGAACAAATAAACAATGAAGTCTAGAATGACTACAGAGATTGGAAAACATCACCTAACATTGTCAAGATCATTTCTCTCCTTTTTATAGAAAGGAAATAGATTGAAATGAACATATAAACATTAAGTGACATGGCAAGAATGACAATCTCTTAAGAACACACGAGGAACTACATATGCCAACATGTGGGTCATTGCCTTTCATGGTTGACACTGACCACCGGGCAGTGACGTACCTAGGAGGGTCATCTCTGTGGACACGCGGTCGATGGTGAGCACTTCATCTGCTCCATCATCACAAGCTTCCACATAAAATTTTTCAGATGTGGTGTGCCTACGGGGAAATTTTAAACCAAAATGAAACAAGGGCAATGGAGCGTAACAAGAGTGTTTATGTTGAACATCATTTTCTTAGCTTCCGGAGAGAGGATGTCAGAGTTTGCTGCCCTTGTGAATCCACGGCAGCTCCTTTCATTCTCTAATTTGCTGGAAATCCGCTGATTTGATGTACATGAGAAAATCATCAATGATGTCATTTCCTTACTCAACATGGCATGGAAAACAGTGTCTTACATTGAAGCAGCTGGAGACCTGAACAATTAGGCTTGTGCTGTCTGACCCTAGACAAGCTACTCATCCTTCCTGTTCCTCCCTTTCTTTTCCAAAATTAAGGATAACACCTGACCCTCACCGAATAACCTCACAGAATCATCGTGAGGATTAAACAAACTGATCTTTTACAAGCATTTAAAACAACACACAATAACGACACTGTTGGTATTAGCTAACAAGACTAAGAAATCTTTAATAAAACATTTCCAGGAAATTGTTTAAAATAAATCAGTGTGGATGTTTCTAAAGAAATGTCAGCAAAACAACTATGAAATGTCATCTCATCCCAGTAAGAATAAGCAAAATTCAACAGAGCAGCAAACAAATGCTGGTGAGGTTATGGAGAAACTGGAACCCTTATTCACTGTTGGTGGGAGTGTCAGCTGGTGCAACCACTATGAAGGCTGTAAGGCACTTTCTCAAAAAGTTGCAAATAGAAATACCATTTGACTCAGTAATTCCACTACTGGGAATAAACCCTAAAGAAATCAGAACTGCCATCCAAGTAGATATATGCACACCCATGTTTATTGCTGCTTTGTTCACAATAACAAAAGAGTTGGAAACAACCCAAATGCCCATCAACAAATGAATGGATAGAAAAGCTGTGGTATATTCATACAATGGAATATAATGCAGTACTGAAAAAAAACATGGAACTCATGAAATATTACACAAAATGGGTGACTCTGGAGGATATTATGCTGAGTGAAGTATCTCAGTCACAAAAAGACAAATACTGCATAATACACTGTTATAAAACAGGACTGATATGCGGGTTGGGGAGAAACTAAGAAAAGAGGGGATAAATAATGTACATGGCATTGAAACAGATGAGGGAGATAACTATATAAAAGGAATATATATTGAGTAGTATTGGCATGACAAGAGTCCAGAATAAGAGCTGCATAATAAAGTGATCTAGGGGTGGTGGTGAATAACAATGAAAGAAAACTTTTTTCCCAAAGAAAAAAAGCTAATGGGAGGCGGGGGGCAGTGGGAGCAGGGAAGAAAATGTGCAACAATGAATGAACAGAAATTCAAGTTCTTTATAAGCTTTCATTAAAATCTCAACTAAAAACAACAACAAAGAAACCTGTGCAGAACAAGGTTGGAACAGAACGAGAAGATAGTGTATGCTTTAAAATTAGAAAAGGTATGTGTCAGGATGGTATCCTATCATAATACCTCTCAAATCTGTATGCCAAACAAATAAGCAAAGAAGCTGGACTATATGAAGAAGAATGTGGCATCAAGATTGGAGGAAGACACGTCAACAACCTGTGATATGCAGATGACACAACCTTGAATCATCTGGAAAGTGAAGATGTTTAAATCAGGGCTTGCTGATAAAGATCAAAAGATACAGCATTCCATATGGATTACATCTCAACATACAGAAAATAAGAATCCTAATAACTGGACCAGTGAACAATGGTAAATTGAGAAAAGATTATGGTTATCAATTATTTCTTTTTACCTGGACTCACAACACCCTTCGAAGCAGCAGTCAAGGATACAAAAGATGTAATGTACCGGGCAAATGTGCTGTCAAGGACCTCTTTAAAATGCTAAAGAAAGAGTGAGCAGTCCCTTTTTGTTTCAGGATGTCACCTTAAAGACTAAGGTGTGCCTGACCCAAGCTTCGGTGTTTTCCACTGTTCAATACACGTGTGAAAGACGGACGAGACTGAAGAATTGATACCTTTGAATCATGGTGTTGCCAAAAAAATACTAAATAAAATATGGAGTGACATAGAATAAAGTCATTTGTCTTGGGAAAAGCACAGCCAAGCTACTTCTTAGACGCAAGGATGGTGAGACTTTGTCCTGTACACTCCGGGTATGTTATCAAGAAGGGCCAGTCCTTGGAAAAGGACATCATGCCTGGAAAAGTAGAGAGTGAGCAAAGGAGAGGAAGATCCTGAACAAAGCCTGACACCATGACTACAGCAATGGGCGTAAGCAGAGAGGTTGTGCGGACAGTGAAGGAAAGGGTGAGGTCTCAATCTGTCGTGCACAGTCTCCGAGATGGTGCCAGCTTGACAGCACCTAACAAAACAGCAATTATCCAGACATACTTTAAGTCCACTTGTGATTCAACTGTGACTAATTTCTTAATTACGAGGCTCGTCTGCTCAATGGGGGTGCTAGGCTTAGTGAATGAAAATCAATTTTCACTAATTCAAGCAAAATGCAATCAAGCCAAATGAGCTACAAACCGTCTCCAGTAAAACCCTCAACAGTTAATTCCCTTTTACTGCTTAATAATATTCATTTCATTGTATGGATGTAGCAATTTGTTTATCTGTGCGCTTGCTGATGAACATTTGGATCACTTCCAGTTCCAGGCTACCAGGAAGAAACGTTCTTGGGGATTCTTGTACAAGTCTTGAGGACAAGCACAAGCCTTCAATTCCATTCGGTGAGCTGGGTGAGCCTCAGAGTGGGCTACGGGTGTGTATGACAGGTGTATAACTAACTTGAGCAGACTGGGGTAAAAGAAGGACTTACAAAGGGGCCAAGGTAGGTAGTTTTAGGGATGATGGATTATTCATCATCACACTGGTGGTGATAATGTCAAAATATATCAAGTTGGGCATTTTAAACTTGTGCAATTTATGGTATATCAACATGAATGAAATTGTGCAAAAAAAAAAAGGAGGAAGCTGTAAAACAAGAACTCCCTCCTCATTATAGAGTGTGACTCCAAGAAAAAGCCAGTGGTTATCAGACAGTTACCACGTACAAGGATAGTGAGACTTCCTCTCACACTTCGGGCTAGTTAGCAAAAGTACCAGTCCCTGGCCAAAGACGTCGTGCTTGAGGAAGCAGAAGTCATCAAAAAAAAAAAAAAAAAAAAAGGAGACCTTCAAAAAAGATAGATTGACTCAGTGGCTTCAAGATGAGCGTGCGCCTGGTACAGGGTTAGGCAGTTCCCTTCTGCTGTACACGGGTTGCTATGTGCTGAAGCCAACTGGATGGCACGGAACAACAACGGTGAGCAGGAGGTCCGTGATGACGGAAAATTCAGTAACAACATCACCCCACAATTTTTAAGTAAGATCAGACCTGGAAGATAACCAATATCATTGCAAATTCTTTTGGAAAAAGTGCTGTCTCTAAAGCAGACAATAAGCCTCCCCCCCCAACCCAGGACTGGGCGGCTCAACCTTCAGCCGTTGGGTAGGAATCTCTACATCAGATGCTAAGCTTTCCACTGGGCCCCCCCAATCTTCGGCATGCTGAGCAAGTGTCTGTGCAGAATGGAAGGCCCACCGCATCCTCGGGGCTTAAGTAGACTCCGGAATTCAAAGAGCCACATGGAATGCTTTCACACTGTGCTGGCAATATCACTGAACACTCTGTCTCACCCCAATGTCCTCAAAACCCCCATGAATTCTTTCTGTCATGTTCAAAGCAACAGTAAAGAATCTTAAGACATTTAGTCTCCATTATCTGGTTTCTAAAAGAACAATCACAGTACTGATACAACAACCCATTACCAGCATCGCTCCAGTGTCCAGTGAACCAACAAGGGTTTGTTCTGTTCCCAGTAATGCCGAAACAACCACCCAGAATCCCAGCCGTCAATAAATAAGCTCTCTCATTTACACAGAAAATGAAAGCCCAACTCTCCACAAACTGATTACAGCCTGTGACCAAAACAACTACTTCAGCAAATGGTAATAACACTGCATCGAGCGCTGGGGAAAATCTGCGAGATTTGCAGCAAGGGAAGAAAAATGCACATATACTGTCCTTGTGTACCATCTAGTTGGAACCAACCCATAGCTGACCCTCCACAGGGTTTTCAGAGTCAGTAAATTGCACAGGACGAGAATGCCCATCTTTTTCCTGTTGAGCATCTGGTAGATTCGAACTGTGTGCCTTCAGAATGGCAGTGCAACTCCTTACCACTAGGCTACCAGAGCTCCATTATACACACATACGCACACATAACGATAAAGGACTTCTAATCCTGACTTCGCTATTTAATGACTATGTAACACGGGTGGAGTCAGAAGGATCTACCTGTGTCGGGCCTGATAGAGCCATTATTGGTACAAAGAACCTAGACTCCAGAGCTTATACCCTAATGGGAGAGAAAACCCATATACAAGGAAGGAATTCAAGGATTCCACACAGTGGTAAACAATATGAAGAAAATAAAAGGGGAGAGGGCAATTGATCTGTTTGAAGATGAATTTAAATAATGTTGTTGTTTGTTGTTATTGTGTGCTGTCGAGTCGCTTAAGACTCATAGCGACCCTATGTACAACAGCCCTAAACTGCGCTGTCCTGTGCCAATCGCACTGTCTCGGACACACCCATTCCAATTACCCCAGTCACTGAATCGATCCACCTCATAGAGAGCCTTCCCCTCCTGCGCTGTCCCTCCACCCTACCAAGCATGATGTCCCTCTCCAAGGACCAGTCCCTTCCTTACAACATGTCCAAAGTATGTTAGATGGAGCCTCAGAATCCTTGCCTCCAAGGAGCCACCCGGTTTAACCCTTTCCAGGACAAATCTGTTTGTTTTCCTAGCAGTCCATGGTACTCTCAGTACTCTTCTCCAGCACCACAGCTCAAAGACATCAATTTTCCTTCTATCCTCCCTGGTCATTGTCCAACTCCCTGCTGCATAACAAGTGGTTGCAAAGACTACGGCCTATATCAGATGCACCTTAGTCTCCAGCGAGAGACCATTGCTCTTCAGTA